AAAGCAGACTCTGAATTCCCTCAGGCAATACAGTTAGAAATAAGGCATTAGAAACCCCTCTCTCCACCCTGACCTTACACCTTTCCTAATAGGAAACATTTTCCTTAAAATATAGATGCTACTTATATAGAGAACCTCTATAGCAGCGTGTCCAACGTTGGCCACTTTAAGAGCTGTGGACTTCAACTCCCAGAATTCCCCAGCCAGCCATGCTCTAAAGTTTAAACCTTTTTAAAGCTCCTTTTTTTTTGCTCCCTGAAGGTTCAGACTGGATTTGGTCGAACGGGCAGTCATTTCTGGGGATTTCAAGGACACGAGGTCGTTCCAGACATAGTTACCATGGCCAAAGGAATTGGTAACGGCTTTCCCATGGCAGCAGTTGTGACTACAACAGGTGAGAACTGCTTTCACAATTGGTGGGTTTCAGAGTGAACAACCTTTTCATGCACAGCGTCTTGGGGTTCAGGTGAGGTGCAATCACATCAACATGAAAGAAAGGTCAGGTCATTCTCTGTTGTTTTGCTGGGTTGGAGATGAATTTTGGAGTTTTCTTCCCCAACAATGTTATACGTCCCTTAAGGTTATGTTCCCTGCTCCAAAATGGCAGGATGCCATTCCACAGTTTTCAACAAACATGTTCCCAGAGGTCTAGAGGGCCAGGGGTGGGTTCTGGCAGTCACTACTGCTGGTTCACTTGTGGGCGCAGCATGCACATGCATGCGCAGAGCAATAAAAATTGCTCTGCCTATGCGCAGAAGCAAAAAAACAAGATGGCTGCGCTTACGGCACCACTGGAAGAACCAGTTCGGAGGCGTGGCAGGCCTGGGTCGCTGCCGATTCCAGCGACCCAGGCCGCCAAATTACTACCGGTTTGGGCGAACTGGGCCGAACTGGTAGGAACCCACCAATATGGAGGGCTATGAAAAAGAATTTTGGTTGCATGTTATCCTTGACCTTAGCTTTACATTCATTATTTCCGAACATGCACGAGAGAATAAATTTTGCTGGATGAGTAGAATTTGACCTAATATAGAGAAAAATCACAAGCAAACACTCTGAATGGACTCTGTAGTTGGTCACTGACTCAAATTCTTATTCTCTCTGTCTCTCTCTTATTGCTTTCCCCTTTCCTGCCCTTGTCTAACTGGGGCTTATAAAAATGCTGGCACTACAAAGTTCTGTTAATAGGATAAACCGAACTGTGATTCAGGTATGCTTATGAAATAATTGTGTTATTCTTTAAGGGTTACCCTATGACTTTATCATAACAGATGCAATCTCCAGCCAACAGCAGGTGGCCCACAATATAATCACACAGTTTTCTTCCGTTATGCTCCACCTGCCTGTTTCAAATTAAAATAAATGTTTCAATGATGCTATCGGTTTTTATTCCACTCTCAATCAACAGAAACTAAACCCCAGAGCCCCTATTCTATTAAACTTACTTATTTCTAGGAAGCAGCCAGTCATAAATTTTACAATCATGTTTAAAATACAAAGATTAGGCAAAATATAGTTGAATGACTGAGAATCTCCACAGACGTGGTTGAAGGAGGTTATTGTGATCACCATGGAATTCTTAAGTCACCTTCGTTTTTTGCAGCTCCATCAAGTCAGTGGTTTGAAAATGAACTGGTAGAATTGCAGTGATTGTCAAATAATAATGTGATATTGTAGTGTTTTTGAAGAGCCGAGGTGGCGCAGTGGTTAGAGTGCTGTACTGCAGCTACTTCAGCTGACTGTTATCTGCAGTTC